TACTCCGCCACGTAATCGTCATTGCAATTTAATGCATGACTAGGCATCATAATAACTCCTCGAACAATGCCCACATTCCCGTCATTCTGTCACTATCTTTTACTAGTGTGCACCCCGTGCAAAGCACGACCACCATTTTTTTAATTCCGCTACAGTAATTCTGTATATAAATATAGTTTTTGTAAGTACTACAGTAACATTTTTTAAATGGTACAATATCTCGCCTGAGCTACAGTCATAATGCTACAGTAATGTTTTTAACCGCTATAGTTCCCGCCTGTGCTACAGTAATACTACTACAGTAATTTATTGCATCATGAATACTGAAGCTTGCATCCTCCTATCTGTGCTACATTAAATATTGTAGTAATTTACTATAGCATTTTACTATATCATGAATAGTGAATCTTAGATCATCCCATTATTATAGAGGAATAGATATCACAGAAATTATCAAATGTTAATTCCACTCTAGAAAGTGACGTGTGTGTCAGTACGCCGACACAAAGGCCGATTTGAAAGGCATCCTCACTCGGACTCTCTGACAACGATCAACTCAGGAGACATCCTCACACATAATGGTTGAGTCGAAAGGTGCCCTTACTCAGCCTCTCTCAAAGAGCTGAGGTGAAAGTTGCTCCGTCTCAAAACTAGCAACGATAGCCAATCACTATCATATTAAATACACGGTCAGAGCCATCATTGTACCTCCACCGGAGTCATAATGACTTATAGGACCATGCCAGCGCCATAACTCTCTATCACTATCATATTACATATAAAGATGACTTAGATCACCCGTTGTCGACGCCTATAAAATACCAGCTGACTAAGTCGGTTGCATGGACTCAGCCAAAGTTACGCAAATGCCCACGTCAGTTCGGTATTAATAGACACATTCCCCACTGCCCAAACATATCCAATTTTTGGCACCCTAGGAGAGTTAAAACTCATTCTATTTTCATCCACTTCAGTCCGCTACTAACTTGACCGTCAGAGGGATCACTAGAGAGCCTAACTCCAAATCCTCTAACATATTGCATATGTGCAGAATTATCTTTTTGCCCGACAATCAGCCATCAAAGGAAAATAAGAGACCCTAAGCTCTCCATAATTTGTTCTAAATCCCAGTACTTAACTTTTGACATCAACACCATCATATTAAATTCAACGGGTATAGCTCCTCACCTGTGACAAAACAACGATGGGCACGTGCAAAGTGTCGATGCAGTGTCAGATCAATTAGTCAGTTAGATTGCCAAAATCCCCTCACAAAATTGCTATAAATAGCTCATCTTCTCTATTCTAAGGTACGCACAATAAAGCCCTAAATACTATATTCTGCTTTTCTATTTAGATTATCAGACTAATTACTAATTTAAGTATCAGAGGGCACGTCAGAAGAAATAAATTCTAGATCCTCTAACCTCTATAATTTTATGCAGGGAATTACATTTGAACATACTCTTCAAAGCAATTAGCCATCAGAGGAGATTAAGGACCCAGAATAATCCTTACCTCTCCTAAACCACACACTAATTTCTTCCCATCAATAGTCTCACTCCATGGTTTGTCACACATATGTGGAAGATTGTAGCATATCGATAGTCATGTTGTTATGCCAATTATTAGTTATATGAATTACTCATGAACGATAGACGATGCCCGTGATTACCTGCATGAATGACTAATACGTGGTTAGTCCACAAATAATGGCACCTCCTACAAATGTTGGTAGCAGTATTTCTCCTTCATGGTTGTTTGTTTAGACCAAGTTGCATATTTGTTAGTTTGATTAAAGTGGATTATAACTTTAGGGTATATAAGCACTAACAAAACAACTGAGGGTATATAGGGGTAAGTTTTACAAAGTTTAGAGTATATAAATGCTGCCAAAAAATAAGTGAGAGTTTATAAGTGTAACATTGAGGAAACTATAGGGAATTTAAGTGCAATAAGTCATTTGAAAAGAAAAGAAAGGAATGATAAATAAGTTAGGAGGATTGGAAGAAAGGGAACGTAAAACATAATATCATATTTGAGGGTTTAGTAAAGAAAATGGAGGGAAATTATTTCTTGATCGTTGAATTTATATGATGATGGTCCAAAATTTTCCACTTCTATTACACCTAGGGGTGCACTTGGTCCGGATACGGTTTGGATATGATGCTTATCGTATCCATATCCGCTTACCCATCTCAGATACGGATACGGATATACCTCGGTAAGAAAAATTCATAACCATATCCGCTAAAATCGAATAAGGTTACATATATATATGGGGATATATGAGCGGATATGCATGCAGATACAAAACGGATATGAGAAAACTAGATAGTATAGAGAAAAACACAGTTCATGTGATACAAAAGAGTTCGTTAATATGTTTATTATAATTAAAAAGTTAGAATTAGACATCTTGATCATCAAAATTAATCACAAATCCATAATCTAAGAATCGAAACTATCGTAAGAGTATGACTAATATGTATTCAGATATTTCAGATATAGATACAGATAATTTACTACAAAACCATATCCGTAATCATATCCTATCGGTTATAGGTTTGAGCAACCATATCCGTATCCTAACGGATACAGTTAAAGATATTTCCCCGGATACTGATACAATTTAACACCCCTAATTACACCCCAATTTGAGAGAGAAGCAAATCCTATAAAAATAGAGGTCTAAATCAGGTAAATTTATCACACACCTTTCGTTCATTCCCTTTTAAAAAAGGGTTAATTGCGAATAGAATCCTTGTAGTATTGGCTAATAGTGAATAGTCCCCTTGTAATTTTATTTGTGTGGATATACCATCTATAGTATTGGCCCAAGTGCGAATACACCCTCTTAGTAAACTTTCTCAACTCTTTTTATGAGTCAAAAATAGTAATGAGGGGTGGGGGAGTTCATACTCGCCAATAGATATAGGGTCTATTTATGTCTCATCAAAATCTTTTTACTATTTTAAGAATAAAAAAAAGAACCACTTAAAGAGGTCTATACACAAATATAACTATAGAGGATCTACAATTGGGCGCCACTAAAGGGGTTCTTTTCGCAAAAGTCCTCGAGGAATCAACAATCAAAGTTTATCTTTCTATCTCCCTCTCCCCTCTTATGTTCACTCTTTTAGACAAGATGTCGCTAAATTACCAGATTAGTTTTAAAAGTAATACTCAATGATCAACTTCATATTAAAATTATTTGCGGCAACAACAAGGTGTTTAAACTTTCGCGATGAGACAAATAAGTCTATAAATAAATTTATCGGCTAACTTTTTTTGAAAAATACTCATGTGATATGTCACGTGATGCCTATATAGCATATTTATAATGATGTGAAAGCTGTAGCTAGCCTCATTTAAAGCATTCGAGGTGGAAAATTTCAAATTAGGGTAAAAAAAGGATTTTTTTTTTAAATTTGGGGGCTTATTCTCCTTCTTCTATTAAATTTAAGGTCCTCCTTTGATAGATAACATGGATTCTTCAAGTTCAAGCAATAAAGAACCTCAAATTTAAAGAAAGAAGGAAATAAGTCCCAAAATTTTAAAAAAAATCCACATTTCCTTTTACTCTAATTTAAAAATCCCTCCGATTAATGGATTAAATGAAGCTAACTATACTTGCCACGTCATCATAAATATGCCACCTAAACGTATTTGACAAATTACATGAGTTATAGTTGAAAAACGGTGGAAAAATTTATTTTTGGATCTATTTATTTCATCGTACAGGTTTAAATACTTTATTACCGTCAAAGAAATTTTTAATACCAGCATGGTGATTTGGTACTCCTTCCATTACCAATAACACGGTGATTTGGTACTCCTTCCATTACCAATATGGTAATTTAGCCCAAGTTCTTAACTTCCCTCTAATTTTTTACTTTTTTTGCTCTAATTTGACTTCATTGGACTGTGCAAACTATAGATAGAGAGAGAGAGAGGGGGAGGAAGAGAGAGAGAGAGAGCGTGTGTGTAAAGTGACCATCATCATCCTCATCTTCATCTTCATCTTCATCTTCTTCTGAGAGAGAGAGAGAGGGGGAGCGCGGGACGCGGACCCCTTTGCCCGGAAAAAAGGTGCCAAGCGTCCCCTCACTGTCCCAAACCCAACTCTCTCTCTCTATCTGTCTGATGGAACAAGAGGATCAAGCCCAGGAGAAGAGGAAGAGGCCTTCTATAATCATAACCCAGAAGGTATTTTCTATCTCCTTCAATTGTTTATTTGGGATTTATAGTTTTCTGATGTAAAACCCACTTGTCTGGATGAAATAAGAAGAGATTTTGGTGAGAACCCATTTGTGAAAAATGAAAGATTGAGATTGTGATGAATACCCAGAATCCAAGATTTCATTTCAGATCCGTATTTTGGTTTTGTAGGGAGTTGAGAGAGAGAAAGAGATCATTGTCTCTTCTCGAGTAAGTCATTCTTCAAATTTCTTCTGTTGGGCCATTTTCTATTACTTGAACTTCACTGTAGTTATCTTCTTTTGATTAACCAAAGTTATGGTTTTTGCAGGAAACTGAGGGTGCCAAAAAGCACACCGCCTCTTCTCGAGTATGTAATTCTACTATATATCATTCTTTTTTGCTACTTCAAACGTAGAAGACACATTGAATCTCTGTAATAAAACTAACGGTAAAAAACAATGATGAAACCTTGATCACAATCATAATAGAGGGCGCGACAGGAGATTGATACACAAAAATCATAATTTTTTCTAGAAAACCATGTTCTCTTCATCTTAATGTTTTTCTTTTCACTTTCGCATTACTGTAAGCAAGAACACAAGGCCCTAATTAGATCAGTTTACAAACTTCATTGACAGATTTATACAAGTATAAATAATACTAAATCACAGGCTTCTGAATTATCATTTTATTCTTGCAGGAGAGTGAAGGGGACAAAGAAACCTCCCTGTCCGCTCGGGTAATTTTTTTTTCTCTTGGGGTTGTTTTGCTTTTTTCTCATATCACTTGATATTTAGACAACTTATGTTTGTCTGTGGACTTGTGAAGGTGGTCTCTTTGCTGTTGGGAGAATATTTAGACAACTTATGTTTGTCTGTGGACTTGTGAAGGTGGTCTCTTTGCTGTTGGGAGATGTAACAGCGCAGCGATTTGAGGACTGGGTAGCTTTGACTTGTGAAGGTGGTCTCTTTGCTGTTGGGAGATGTAACAGCGCAGCGATTTGAGGACTGGGTAGCTTTGGTGAGGAAACGAAGTGGGAAGTATCGGCCTTCAGGTTTTCCACACCGGCTGCCAAAACTCGGGAAAATGCCATGTGGGTTCTTGACTGCAACAGCTTGCCATGATCGAAGGTAATGCTCAACTCTTGATGAAGGGAAATGTTATTCCTTTAGCTGTTAGGTATTTTTGTCGAAGTATAACATTGGTATATAGTACTGCCGTGAACGATTGTGGATTCTTGTGAACTTGGTTTTATAGAATTGTGGATTTCCATGCACAAACTAATTGTTTTCTTGTGGTTGAAAAGCATCAAAGCTGTACATTGGAAATTAATGCATCTATTGGCATGAACTTGTAGCGTTCAATATTCGGCAGGCAAAATTGTCTGTTGAAAAGTTGCATCTAGTAATATAAGCATTATCTTGTGAATACAGTGGGAAGACATAAAAAAGTATATGGAAGTATAATATGTATGCATTTATATAGGCAGCCGCGACAAAGCCTTTTATCAAACTCCTTGTGGTTGCTACGTGAATTTGTTTTCTCCATTCTGCTTGCTTAAATAAGGGTCTTTCCTCTGTTAACTTTCTAACTACCTCGATCCTTGACTTTTTTTTATATTTACCCTTGATCCGCGGCAATTATGTGTCTACAATCCAATAGCCTACACAGATTAATGTCTGCGCTGGACTTACAAAACTATTTCAACCAGCTCTTTCCTATTTTGTTCTCGAATTGAATGAATGAAAAGTATATGTCTCGCCTTCTAGCTTTTTAGTGCATCTTGTTTATGATATTGAAATAAATCCTTTACGTGTCAAGCCCCAAATATTACAATTTAACATAAAAACTAGTGTGTACCCCGTGCAAAGCACAACCCCCTATTTTTTTAAGCACTGCATTTTGAACTTGCCTCCTTCTAAGTTTTAATATATTAGATTTAATTATTGTATGATTAAAATTAGAAATCATATCTACTCCTCTATACTTCAAGCACGAAGAGCTGATTGTTTTACTGTAGCGTGAACATTAGTTCTTTGGATTTTCCTTTAAGTATAGAGGAGTAGATTTGTATCCCACTATGCACCATGCATATCAAAGAAATATATAAATGTGCTATAACTTGTGTGCAAGTGTGCAAAGAATGCTTTGCATAAATTGTGTTATAATTTTAAGGACACAGTGAAGAAGTTTTCAACAAGTGTCCTAAAAGGTATCCATAAAAAGGTTGTATGTCAGACAAACACTGGACAACAGAGTGATGGATTGAAGATGGTGCTACGTAAACGTTTACTTCTTTGGTTCCTTATGAAAAAAACCTTGTCAGTTTGTGCTAAACCATGTGAGAAAATTAAAGAACTCACCCTGTTCCTACATGTGATAATTTTATTCCTACACTAATGTAGGTTGCAAACCGGAGTCCTTTACTCTTCATTTATTATCCTTTGAGTTTGTCAATGTTATTTTGTGTTGTTTATATGTAGGCATGATTTCATAAACAGAGTAGTAGTCCTCCAGAAATGGCTTTGTGATTAATGTTTTGTCGATCGAGGGAGGAAGGGAGGGAAACTAAACTAATCTGTTCTACAGGTAATAAACTAATCTGTTCTTCATTTAGAAAGGAATGTGTACATACCTACTGATGCAAAGTGATGCCACACTGACTTATCTGGTTTGATCTGTCAAGCACACAAAACAAGATGGGCAACCAATGGCTTTCACATAGATACATGCACACAACAAGATGGGCAACCAATCGGTTTCACATAGATACATTCACACAAAACAAGAAGGTAATCACCGGGGTTATTGCCTGACATGCCAAAATTAGTCTCTTGGAGAAAAAAAAAGCAAAAGACCTCGTTTGGCTGTGTGCACCTTCCTCACCTCACAGAGGGGACTTTTACATCTTCTTGGTGATCATTTTTGCATTATCCGAGTATTGCTTATCGTGAATGAATCATAGTCCATAGATTTCTCTTCTTTCTTGCCTGTGCTACAACATCCAACTTTGGATGCATGGATTACCTTTTTTACGTGTGAAAGTTAACAGTGTTGGTGCAATTTTCTGATATGGACAATTGCCCCCTCAATCTTTACTGTTCTTTGGTGTAGCGTTCACTTGTTGACTTGCTAGCTCAAAAACTTTTAGCCTTTTTTTTCCGTATTATGACCTCAGGGGTCACACTTCGACCTCATCCCACTCTACGTGTATGGTCAAAGAGTTGTCTCTTAATCTCTCTACCATACTTCTTTGCTTTGGAGGATCAATAGGGGTTTAGCCCCTAGGGTCGTTTTCCGACCTGCTCCACTAAGTTTAGTTTGTTTTTCCTAGCGCAAACTAGGAACCTTTCACTATTTGATGCTAACATGACTGTTGTAGTTGGCAAATATTTCAGCAGAAAAAAATGTTCATTCGGGCACAGAAGGCGTCCTGAAATGCTTGTTATCTTGCAAATTAAAGCTACTGTTCCTATTTATACTGTTATCTATCTTAAATTTTATTAATAAAGAAAATTGCCCAGTAGTCAAGATTTTAATGGTTGTATGACTTGAGTTTTGCATAAAATAATTAAGCACTGGTGTTTATCTTGTAGAACGTTTTTCCACTTTAGCCATAGATTCCTGCTGCTGTCATGATATTTTTCTTTTGAAGAATTTTCATTGTAGACCCATTCCCATATTTAATCCCTAAAACCGACCCATTCCCATATTTAATCCCTAAAACCGACCCACTTTAAAGTTATTTATGAGAATCGACCCACTTTGAGTTAATTGCGATACTAATTAGTAGGGGTTGCCAACCCTAACTAATTAGTAGCCTAATTAGCAGCCTTCCCTTCTCCCTGACCCTGCTTGTAATTAGGCTACTAATTAGTCGGGGTTGGCAACCCCGACTAATTTGTACCGTAATTAACTCAAAGTGGGTCGATTCTCATAAATAAATTTAAAGTGGGTCGGTTTTAGGTATTAAATCTGGGATTGGGTCTACAGTGAAAATTTCTTTATATGCTTTTAACGTAACTTATGTCAGTTGCATTATTTTGATTTTTTCCCTTCTACAGTTCCAAAGCTAAAGATTCGGGAGGCTTAGACTGTGAATCAGATGATTTATTGCTTCCTGACCAAGCTTCAGAACCGAATTTATGGGAAAGGCTCGGGAGTGCTGCAATGTTAGATATTGAATCAGGTGATTTCTCCTGGGATGGCCTCTCATCACTGCATCACACTGAACATACTAGCAGTGCAGAGCATTCTGAAGATGAAATGAATAAACCACTGGAGGTACGTTGGCATTGTTCTTTAAATTGATTGCTGTTGTATCTTCCAATATAATTTGATGGGGAAGGAGCAAAGAAAGTTTGAATAAATTAGAACTGTTCATTATGTCTTTGTAGACTGTTTATTATCTCTGTGGCTGTCGATTGATCATTTATACAAAATCTAGCATGACATTTGCATGAAGAAGCTACTGAATTATGTTCGGTTATCCTATCTATTGATCATCTGTACATGTTCTGCCTTATCCTCTTCTTGGTTTGATGCAGATGACTGTCAATTCAGGGGGAGTAGTTTTCTTTGCTTTGTTCAACACTCTTGAGGACACTGATCTCTTTCCAAAAGAAGCATCTGCAGTGATTAAGATAGCTTCTTCGCGAATGGCGACTCAGTCAGAGCGTCTAGGCTATGAGTTTGCAAAATGGCTCGGAGTTCACACACCTCAAGTGTGTATATTTCTTCAAAAGCTTCCATTTCATTTTTTATATTTGCCTTACCTATATTCTTATGCTATAGGCTAGAGTGGTTCATAATAGCTGTCTCGAATGGCAAACCATTAAGGATGCTACTCAGAAAGCACGTGAAGCTGCATTGTCACTTGGGGATGAGTTCAGTGAAGTTACATGTTCAGAGTTGTTGGAAGCGCTTGAAATGAGTCGATGCCTACTATTAATGAAGTGAGTGTGCCACATTATCTTCATGACAATATTGTACCAGGGGTAAAATTCAGAAGGCAACCATGATCTTTGGGTCATTTTGCATAAAACTAGCACAAAAGTTTTTATATTAGAGAAAATTATCATGATCTTTTTTCACTGTTACCATGCCTCGTGACAATTAGGGCAGGTGGTCACATGCTCGCACGTGACATGTTTTGGACCATTTCTCTCCTGTGTACTCTCTATATATAATCTTTTATATTACTCTTATGCACTTAGTGAGTTGATAGATATAAATAAGGGTAGCTTAGATGTTTTATCCAATATGACAATGCCGGTGGCAACAACTTCTTATAGTTTGTAGTACCCTTATGTAGTTTTGAAAGTTAGCGTTAGGTTTCTCTAATAGAAAATTTATGGTAGTTTTGTGCAAAATCCCCAAAGTTCATGTTAGTTCTGTGAATTTACCCTCGCGTTAAACATCTTTTTCTATAATCAGGAGTTTCCTTTTTGCAGTTACGTTCACGGATCCCCTGTTCTAGAAAGTTCAGATGCATTTGGTTCCCAAGAAGCTGCTGAAAATACTGCTGCAGCCCTAGGCAGGGTTTTGATGCTGGATCTTATCTTAAGGAATGAAGACAGACTCCCTTGTCGTCAGCTTGGCTGGCGTGGAAATCCTGCAAATTTATTACTTGCAGATAAAATTGCCTCTGCTAAGTTGGATGCTTTGGAAGAAGCCTATAATTCTGCCACCAGACAACGAGTAATTAAAACTCTCCAGAAAAAGAGAAGAGCATATTCAGTGAATGGAAGATTAGTCTGCCGAAATCCCGAACATTTGTCTCAAGGCTCTGATGCGTACAATGAGATTGAGTATGATGATTTTCACGTTGTGGCTATTGACATTGGGGTCCCACGCCGGCCTCCCGCAGGAAAGCGTGCTAAAGATCAAGAACGATATCCAAAGTTTGTAGAGCTCATACTTAACAACTCAGAATACTCTTCAAATGTATTAAATGAAATATCTGGTGGTAAATTGGGGTCTCCTACACCAGAAGCCATTGAACAAATGGATTGTAGCTCGTCTCTGTCTGAGATTGACATGACATCGATTGTTCATGAGTTTCGAGGTGGTTTTCGTGCAGCTCTCAGGGACCTGCAGAGTTTTCATCTATTTCTTCTCACACTTTATCAGAAGCTGGACGGCCTTCTACGAGTTTTCTTATCGATAATTAGTAAAAACACTGAAGTGTCGGACAAGGATGACTTCATGGCTTCAGACTCGCTGTTGCATTCTGTGGGGTTGGGCTTTAATTCTACAGCATCTGCAACTAAAGAGAGATTTTTGAATGAAGCCCACACAGATTCAAGCGACTCAGAGAATCATAAATCTACACCAAAGTCTTCTTCTCCAGTTCACAGAGGAAGTCCTGACTTGTCTTCTCCAGCTTCTCGAGAAAATTGGAACGGGAGATATTTCAAAGGCAGTGGTGATGCTTCTCGTAGTTTGCGCATGACGATGAAACTCCGTGACTTTCAAAAGCTAACAAAGGTTAGAGCTCTTTCATCATGTATTAACTACAATAAATTAATCTTATACACTGTCAAAGAAAACACTCAACATAATATATGATAGTCAGGGGCGGATCCACCTATGTCTAAGTGGTGTCACGTGACACCACTTTGACATATAGGACCCCTCCCCATTATATAGTCTTAGTATATAATTCGTAACCCCAACTAAATTTCTTATTTTCTACCATATGCGTCTGGCAAACCCTTAAAACTGGGCCAGGACTGAAGTTAGTCACTGTTAAAACTTGATGTGAATGCTTTCGCAGGCAATTTTTCCCTTTTCAGTGAGCAAAATATGTGATAAGCAATTAATTTATATTTTACCTAAGCTGGATTGACAATGAGAATATATATTATTTTTAGTATCATGCATACTCAGGAAGCAATTTATTGAGGAGAAATGCTGACAATTGAATTGAATCTCATTCCGACCCATACAATCTCAATGAACTCAATTTCATTGGAATCTATATATTCATGGGTACATAAGTAACAGCAGGAGTATGGATTCCGGTGATATTGAGTTCCTCTAGACGGTATGTCTTTCAATGAAATTTGATTCAGTTGTCAGCATTTCTCCTCAACAAGGATTCCAATGAGATTGAGCTTGTCAAGACTGTATAGATTTCAATTGTCAGAACTTCTCAGCAACTGACTGCGGGAGTATCTAATTTTGAGAATAATTCCATGACATGCTTTTCTTAGTGGACCATATAGCCCGAACATGATCGTCTTCCTGACAGTTCTATTGTTTCTTGGATTTAAGTACTAAATATTTTCTGAAATTTTTTTGTTCTGTAAAAGTTATTGGTGATAATTCTCATTTTGTACATAATTGCATGGGATGTGGTTCGTTCTAATTCATGGGATGGGAATGGGAGTGTGGTAACCCACTTATTTGGAATCAGGGACGAGGGAGGTGGGTTTATACAATCTATATATTTACTAAAACAAGGCCCTATAGTTGCCAGCAACTTCTTAGAATTTTAGATATTAAAATTTATTTTTTACAATTCAAATAAACAATATGATAATATTGAGAATATGAAAAATCATCTCCATTTTGTGTATAAAAGACCCAGTAAAGAAACTTTTCATTTTGTATAACTTCGAAATAAATTAATCCATGAATTAAATTATACTTTTGTAACCCACCATTAACATGTTAATTCTCATGCAAACCCATTCAAATTCTCTACTCATAACCTCTATTTCTCTACTAATTTACTATAAAAATTCACCATCATCGTCTTCATCCTATAATATTTTAAGAACCATTAATCTTCAATTCAAGAATAGAAAAAACTCCATTGGAACTTCATGAGCATGGGAATAAAGGTATAATTAATTTCTATTTTTATTTTACTAGTAGTGTATATTTCCTTTTGCATTTTATTTCAAAGTCTACTTCCATTCAACACAAGCAGAGTGATATATCGAAGTATGTGATTATTTATACAATTGCATTTTAGAGGATGAAAATTAATATGAATATTTTTATTAAATTACATTTTAGCATTTATGTATGCAATATCTTGAATAAAGTTAAACCATATTCAACAATATGCTTTAGAAAGTTAAAGCTAACTCAAGTTCTAATACTACGAGAAAACATTTTTAATAAGAGGAATATATCGAAAAAATAGATGTAGTCTATTTTATAAATAGATATATATTAGCTCTTTTGTCTTCATTATTTTTATAGTAAGTTTAAGAAATTTAAAGCATAATTCAAACACTCATGGCTATGTAATAAAAGTTTTTTAGCATTATCTAATCATAGCAAAAAGATTGTTGTTAACTTTCTTAAATAGTTATCGTTTAGATTTTATTTTATTATTTTGGTAAATAATACATCATTAAAAAGTTCTCGCAGCGATGCGCGGGTATAACACTAGTTATACAATATGCTAGGGTAATGGGGAAGAGGACCGAAACATGCCACTGAAAGACTCTCTTGAGACAAAAGATAGGCTGTCAAGAACGTAGAGGAGGTAGGATGGGCAGTTGGTCAGATCTAGTATGGATCATACATGGACGATTGTTGGAGTCGGCGGCTCTCCTAGGGTTCCATCATCTGGGATCCCTGGGGAAGAGGATCAAGTTGGCCCTTGCGAATAGCTTGATGCACTATCTTCCTTCAACCCTTTGCTTTGAGCGAAATGTGGCAAAAGGAAGGAATAATTGGTACATTTTAGTTTAAATTTTAAATAATAGGAATCTTAGGTCCTTCAAGAGTTAAATTCAAGAAATTTGCTAGTTGATATCATAATGGTAAAAGAACCTTGAGAAGCATGTTGCAATTAACAATTAAGGTATTCATACTTTATGTGCATAATTTTTCATGATTTTTGTTGTTTATTTTTCTGGGAATAGTTCATTTTTTCAAAAATTTAACTACTTTGAATTCTAAAACGGGGTCGCCGTAGTTGGGGAACTAACTTGCGTTCAAGTGTGACCCAATTCGCTGACATTCCTTGTTCTGGGATGATTGAACCTAGTTGTGTTTTTCTATAGCATCCTTATCCCCGACAACATGGTGTACATCTATTCGTTTGCATTAATATGAAGTAATTAAACGAAAGTTATTTTTAGGAGAGACGCTTCTCAAATTCATCATTTCCCTGATAACAGCAGAAAGTTTTATTCCTGGCTGTGTGCAACATTTTTGACATTTGAAACAAAGATATATTAATTTCGAGTAACAGCTTTTGCTTTCATGCCTTTTGTTCAAAAATACATTTCTTCAATTCTGAAATAGTCCTGTTCTGATCGCAGATAGATGCTGAGTTGCAAAAGGAGTTGGAACAGTGGAATGAAATGCTAAGAACTGATGTGATTAAGTTGTGCCAGGAAAACAACTTCAATACGGGCTTCTTTGAGGGGAGTGATAGCACCAGTGTTGTTGATGCTTATGAGTTGAAGGTAATAAAAATTATTCATATGTCACTGAAGTAAGATAGGCCTAAGAAAACTTGGTTGGAACCAGTTAAAAAGAATATGGTAATGATCAAACTTAGTGTGAAAGTAGCCTCAACAGAACTGAGTAGAAGAATAGGATTCATGTTGCCGACCATAAAAAAATTGGATTGTCAAAGGTTCCTTCCATTGCATCAAAACTTCAGAGTTTTTCTTTGGGGTTGAGGACGTGATAATTTGTCCTGCAAGTTTTTAACATGCCTCCGCATGTTGAGGGCTTTTCCATGGGTCGAAACCTAGCATGCAGCTTGTTATAAACTTGTAGCCAGTTAGGGTTTGAACCTTGGTTTCTCCAATACTGTTTCAGAGTACCCTTCCATTGCAAGAAAACATCAAACTTTTGGTTAGGTTTGAGGCTTACAATTTTACACTCTAACAGGGACGAAGGCTTTGTTGTTGTTGTTGTTGTTGCTGCTGTTGTTGTTGCGTACTTCAGTGAAGTAAATGGGTTAATTAATCTTGCAGGTCCGACTTGAACATATCCTTGAGAGAATAGCCTTGATATCCGATGCAGCTAATACTGAGAGACCATCTTTAGTTGCAGGTAACCTATTTATTGGTGGAGCTCTTGCAGCAAGGTCTAAGCATACGCTTCAGCACTTGGGCATCACACGTATATTGTGTCTATGTTCAAATGAAATTGGTCAATCAGATACTCAATATCCTGATCTTTTTGACTATAAGAACTTCTCAGTAAGAGCTTGGTCCTTTTTTCCTTGTTGAAAATCCATGTGTTTTCTGCTCTAAAATTAGGTCCAAAAACCAAGTTTTTTTTATAGTTAAGGTTACGTCTCCAAGTGTTGAATTTCTCTTATAAATTTTCGTTTGAAAAGTACTGTTTTATGTGAAAGAATATTACTCTATTTATGAAACAAGGATTAAAATCTTATTTTTGGAAAAAGGTGTATAAATAGTAATTGGTACAAGTCCTATATTTTAAGCAACACGTAGTCAGTTCAGAATGGATATCTTAGTCACTGCAGATTAGATATCCATCCCAAAAATTCTGATATATTTAGAATGATGATTTTGTAAAGCAGATTTGCGAGCCTCAAGCTCGTGGTTGCATTCTTATCATCTACTATACATATTCCTTTTGTAGTCTTGCTTGCCTATAGTAAACGATGATAAGTTGTGAAGTTAACAACTCATGGTATGCCCTGCAGATAAGTGATCATGATGATTCCAACATCAGCGGTCTCTTTGTAGAAGCTTCTGATTTCATCGATAATGTTGCGCAATGTGGTGGTAAGGTTTTGGTCCATTGCTTTGAAGGGAAAAGTCGAAGTGCTACCATTGTGCTTGCCTATCTGATGCTGAGAAAGTACGTGCATTTCCTGTTTATCTAAATGTGTCACTTATTTTTCAGAAGCTGTTCAAGATTTTTAGTTGGAATATCTTAATGGAGCTTGACTAGGAAGTTGAAAAAATTCCCAAAAAAGTAACAAGCTTTTTTGGGCTGTCATTGAAACACCAGAATCATGGTGCCATAAAAATTTTGCATTGTTGCAATATATAGCTAGTTGCTTTTCTCAATTGTATTTAAGCTCATACGGTCAAGCAGATATTGTCCAAATTTGCCACATAAATTAAGAAAAGTTTCTAATTTTTAGCTCTTCTAATGTGTACATTACTGTCTCAAACGCATATATTAACCAGCCCCTTACAAACTATACCCATCCTGTATAGATTCTATACACGCATAGATGCACGAATGGATGTATGTTATTACACCTGGTTTCAAATGTATTATAGAGGTCTCTGACAAAAGCTAAACTAGAATATAGCTCACTTAAAACTGACAATTATGTGAACACTGCGTAGCATGAAACTTGGTCGATTATCCAGGATAATCTTCATATTAATGAACTCAAATTACACCTAGAATTAGGGCAGGTTCGTGACAAAAATTCACATATAAAGAACAACAGGAGCCATTGTGATGAAGTATAGAGGACTTCGACATGCTTCGCTCTTTCATGAAAAACGACATTATAAGCAATCTGAACTAGGGGTGAGCCTAGTTCTGTGAGAACCGATTAAACTGACCGAGCTGGCCGAATTTCGGCGGTTCGCTTCAGTTTTAGAAAAACTTTGGTTTGGTTTGGTTCGGTTCTAAACTATTTGAAACAAAATAACCGAACTGACTGCTTTCAATATAATTGCCTAAAACTTGTGCTTGTTGAAAGTGAATAAATAATTTATACTAATATTTATATATGTCTTAATTGATAAACGTTTGATTTTAGTTTGTAAGGTCCTTGATTTGATGAGTTTTCTCTTCGGTTTGGGAAATGAGACGAGTGAAAGATTTGAAGGAGTAATAGTCTTGTCTTTTAGCTAAAATTTCTCTAACTTTACATGTCTAAGGCCAAAGCGAACAAACAAAACCGAACCACACTGAACTGATTTGACATGGCTCGGTTTGGTTCTGAATCTAGATTGGTTCGGTTCGGTTTGAAAAAAGAAATGGTCAAAACTGACTGAAGGACCGTTTTCTCACCTTTTATCTAAACTTCACTCCAATAATATCATGACTAGGTGGTTCTTCTTACATATGTTTGTCATATGTTGAGGGAGAGCTTATCAGAGGATTACTCATCTTAAACTAAAATTCATTCCTCTTGGAGACACTTAAATATGATTTGTGTATCATGAGTCCATTCTCAAAGAAACTAGGGATGATTAAATTTTTAAGTTCGTGAAAACTACTTGCATAGCTAAGAACTTAAACAAAATATCCAAGTGGAGCTATTTACAATTTTTGGGCTAGTACATACTTAAATTACACTGCCATCACACTAAGCAATAAAGTTTTTCATGATTTGTTCCTTAAAACTGCATGATTTATTATATACGATAGAGCTTTTCTCTATCTGTTTCATATGAAACTGTTAACATTTCAGGGTTACACTATGAGCAACCACTGGAGTAGACAATCTCTAAGGTAGCTGACCAGAACATCTCCCTTTTTGTTTTTTTACTGAAATCAAAGAGTTACCCAGAAAATACAGAAAAAAGAAAGTTTTTTTTTTCTAGAGACATAAAAACACAATCCAAGGTATGCAAAGTTAGCATATCCGTATATGAAGCTGGGATGATGAGCTCCTAATAGTTTTCATGAGACTGACATCTTGGCCTTAAGAAGAAAATAGTAAGAGATTTTTAACATTCAAATACCGGGATGATATATGAAGTTGGGATGATAACCTCCTATATAATTTTCACACTGTACTGTAAATGCATGTTGGAAATAAAAAACGTCTAACCACTAAATAACCCCCCCAAGTAATCAACTAGCTCTAGAACTAGATACCACCATGTAAAAAACACAATGATGTTATTTTAGGGGTACAAAGCACGAAGTAGCAAGTATCAACAAAACAATTCAAATGTATACTTTGGTTAGATATCAAGTAGTTACTTGAGGTAGATCGACTCTTTGGCCTCAAGAAAATAGTGAGAGATCTTTAACTTGCAAATGCTAGGATGACATATGAAGCTGAAAGATAAGCTTCTATATAATTTTCACATTTGATGTAAAATCGACTTGATGTGCACATGTGAAGCATCTTTGAAATTGACTATTAATGCACTGCATGTTGGAAATCAGAAACACTTGACCATTAAATAACCCACCCAAGGAACCAACCAACTCCAGAACTAAGTAGACTAAAACAAACTAATGTTATTAAGGGCACACACTATGAAGTATCAAGTATCAACAAAACGGTTTAAATGCATACTTCGGTTATATGTATCAACTGAATACTTGAGCCTTGAGGTGAGACCGACACCTTGACCTTAAAAAAATAGTGAGGATTTCAACATGCAAATGTTTTTTTTACCATACTAATGCTGTTGCTGAGGTTAGTTTTGTCTGGCGCCCAGTCGGGAACTAACATTGTAATCAGATGACAAGTCTAATACTGCATCAGTTAGATAAGGGGAAGGAGATGGCTAATGTTGGGACGTTCATGTGTGAATATGGTTGCATCTGTGAAAGGATAAGATGATGTGTTTACATAGGGGTTGAAGGCCAGAGGTGTTTGGAGAATGACCAAGGAAGATCTAGGGATGATTGACAATGTCCTATTGCTCCTATGATGGTGGGTGTAGAGTAAGTTCTAGTTAGACCAGAGTTGGTGGAAGATCCTATAGATGTTTGTAGTTATGTTATCGTCACATGATTACTGGTTTAGACTAAATTAGATTAGACCATGGCTAGATGTCGTCCGAGATTGCCTACAGAAGTGACTAAGTTATGGTCTTCTAACCAGATAAGTGGTTAAAGGAGTTCAAGATCTACGACCGTCGACCGCAACAGAGGTTTCAAGTTATGTGAAATCTTTAAGTCTAGTAGGTATTCCATCACCTTATGTATACACTACTTCTTTATCAATATAGGTCATAATAATTATAGTCTGAGAAGTCTTATAAAATATACTTGGGACATGCATGCAACATGTCACAGATATGAGCACAAGAAAATTTGTTAAAAAGCAGGATACACAGATATGACAATCCAAACACATTTTACTTGTTAAACATTTAAGAAGGGGTATTCTGAAGCAGACCTCTAGATGTCCTTAGGGAAAGTCCGTTGAGGCACACGTGAGGCATACAAGATCTTAGGTGTAACATTTAAAGTACAAATGAAAAAGTGTACTTCATTCCTCATTTCAATTCTTTTAGATGAGATGTATGCTTATTAATAAACCAATATTTGATACAGATTTAGCTGATTGGAAGTGCTGTTGGATAAACATCTAAGGCATAATACATTTTTAGTTCTTTTTGAGTATATCTTGAATTTTTGATAGTGTTAAAGTTGTCTACAACAAAAGTTATCTAATTTAATATGATTTTATTCCATATTTTCATGATAATTATGAATTAAACGATGAAAAAATTATCTCCACCCCCTTGACCCAAGAAATCATGCTTCCCTTACGCCTTGTTTGGTATGCGGGAATAAGTGTGAATGGAGTGCAAGTCCAACTTCTCATTCATGCCTACCAAACATAATGAGTTTTAGGATGCTAGAAATGTCATTCTCATTTCTTATCAATTCCCGCATAATGTGGTAATTGCTATTTCCAATGAGTTATCAAGGAATTGATATTCCCACTTAAATGAGAATGAAAGTAATAGAATAAATTCCGGATACACCATTCTTAAAGACATTCCCACTTAATTCTTTAATCGCACCCAAACATGAGAATGAGAATGAGCATTCCATTCCCACATTAATTTTATTCTATTTCTATATTCATTCCATACTCACTTGACTTCATTCCTGAGTACCAAACGGGGCATTAGGGAAAATACCTTGCAGCACACATATGAGGAATAGAAGGTCATAGGTGTATGCATTTTAACATTTAAGGTACAAAGAAAAGTGTACCTCATTCCTCGTTTCACTCCTAGTTGAGATTTGTGCTTACTAATAAACCAAAATTTGATATAGGTTTAGCCGGTTGGAAGTATAGTTGGTTAAAAATCTAAGACATGATACCTTTTTAGTTATTTTTTAATATATATTGATTTTTTGCTAGTGTTAAAGTTGTCAAATACACACACATGGGATATGTATATATATACATACACACATACACATATATGTATGTATGTATGTATGTTTGTGTATATATGTGTGTGTGTATGGGAAAAGTGTCTATAAGGTGACACCTTAGATTTAATCTAAGGTAGAACCTTTAAAACTACATTAAATACTATCAAATTACTCGATCCACTCCGTTCATTTTGATTTATATATTTTGGATTATATACAAACAAAAAATTAGCTATATTGGGTTGTAGTTATTCATGCATTAAGTGATTGTAAAATTAACTATTTTACGACAATATGACTAAAGAGACAACGAAAAATATGTGTTTGAAGTATTTAATCATTATGATTTTTATTTTATAGATGTTTTGAGACATTTAGATCACAATGAATGAAGCGGATCATCAATTAGAATAGTCTAATTCATGAATTAGGAGGCACTACCTTATTGAATCTAAGATGCCACCTTATGGACACTTTTCCCTATATGTATGTATGCATATATGTATGTATGTGTGTATGTGTATATACATACATACGTACATACATATATGTATGTACGTATACACACATACATATATATGTATGTATGTATCTATAATATACATACATGTGTATGTATGTATGTATATGTGTGTGTGTGCATGCACACATATACATATATTTGTAATATATATATGTATTATACACACACACACTCACACTCACACAGACACATTCTTCTTTTTTCATTTATTCATTATATTTAGTAATTAAGAATGGAGAATTGCCCATTCTTAATCATGATCCGCTTTAACCCAAAGATTCACGCTTCGACACCTTTGACCAGATACTCTTGTCCTCACCATGAATTTTTTCAAGTTTATAAACTGCCCATGCCGTGTCCCTTTTCGTTCTCTCTCTCTCTCTCTCTCTCATTAACCCATGAATGCATAAATCTTTTCACCCTTAATAGCCTACCTTCGCCTCCGCGCCCTGCCCGAATATAGGTTTGGCATGAAAGGAGGTAGCAAGAGGCATCGACGAAGGAGAGGTCGGTGGTGAAGTGGGGGAGATGTTGGTTGAAGAAGGATGAGGTGAGAGGTTTGAGGTGATGACTTAGCCAAGACTATTTTATGGATCTTCAGAAAATATTGGTGGCAGGAGGTCTGGGGCTGGAGGGATCAATGCTTTTGCCAAAGGGTACCAGATGAACTGGGCTTGAGGCAATCCTCCTAAAAGAGAATAGTGAAAATTGTGTGGCTTATGCGTTGCCTTCCGGGAGGATTAACGTTAAACCTTTGTCTTTTTTGACAATTAACACTAATATGAGCATGTGCACGTGTACAAAGAGTAGACAAATGTATACTTCCAACCAAAAAAAAAAAAAAGAACATTGATCCAGTTGACAGGTGCATTCATGCAAATTCATGAACACACTACATTAAATAATGCGAATTCATGAACACACTTCATATATCTTCTATATTATCCTCATAAATATTAATAAGGGTGCTAGACCTTTTATCCAAGGCACTAACGCCATTACTTATAAATTTCAAATACTTCAAGTGCTTTTTTCTGTAGTTTTGAAAGCTAACTAAGTTTTCTTTAATACAAAAGTTTGTGATAGTTTTGTTCAAAATCCCCCAGTGTTCTTAGCAGTCGTAGTAAATTTACCCACCAGTTTATGTACAAGCATAGAAGGATAAATATTAAATATTTGTTATAGGAAGTGTCATCTCGTTGCACAAAGCAAAAAGTAATTCTTGTTTCCTCTTTCAGAAATTTCACTCTGTTACAAGCTTGGACCCTACTCAAGAAAGTCCACCGTCGAGCTCAACCTAATGATGGGTTTGGCAAAGCTTTACTAGACCTCGACACGAGGCTTCATGGAAGAGCCTCTATGGACTGGCAGCACAAGAAGCCTGTAATGAAAGTTTGCCCAATCTGTGGAAAGAACGCGGGGCTCAGCACAAGCTCGCTGAAGCTCCACCTTCAGAAATCTCACAAGAAGATATCTTCAGGGAGTGTCGATAGTGCCATGACTATGGAGATCCAGAAAGCAATGGTGGGGCTTAAGATTAGCCGAACTGGGAGCGATGTTACTCCAGCTGGAAAGCAGATTCATTTCCTCAACGGGAGGTTGTCTTATTGATGATACTTTTGTTCTATAATCTTTTGAGTTCAATTTAGGATTAATTGAGGACTTGGTAGAGAAAAAGTATAAAAGCACTCCCGGTAACTGTAAGGTCATCTAACTGTCACGTATCCTGTCTTCTGGGCTGAATCAGTGACGGAAGCAATATATTTCTTGCAAGTTAATTTGAATAAAGAGGGAATTCTTTTGTTAGCTTTCAAGGACAAACTCTACCAAATGAAATGGGTGGTAATCGGTAATGTTATTTTTGGGATGTATGTGCCTACGAGTATCAATAAGAATCATCCCATCTTTGTATGTATGTATATCCATAGAATGTTTTATTTATGGAATATAGCATTGCATTTGATTTGTTAAGTTATATTTGAAAATAATATGAAATTTAGCAATAATAGAGAGGTACTTTTACTGTGGATGTGAGTTGTTATCGTATTCTCACATGAGAGTTGTTACAGTGTTTTAACGAGACGAAGATTACGATTGAGAAAGTATTCTCTTCTAGGAACAGAAATGCCAATAATTTTTACCTTGCATGAAGCTTTTTATTTTATGTCAATAAATTCAGGATTACTGTAGTTCTTTTTTCATGTATAACATCCTCTTATACGTTATACTACCACGTACTACGTGCCATTCATCCATAAGACTGAGTCACAACCGGAACACCTCCGTATCTCACTCCCCATCCACCGACTCCTTCAACATCTCCTTCCGACAAACAAACTAAGCAGTATAAGCCTCTCACAACAAGCCCCTTCCGCACAACAAAACATCCCGGAAAAAGTAAACCAAAACAAAACAAAATGAAAGCTGATCTCCACCCCGTCGCTGCTCTCTTCTGTTCACTTTTCCTCTTGCGTATCGTCACCGCCTGCCTCCTGCTCGTGGGCCACCACCCCCGTTCGCTGCCCCCTACCACCTGCTTATAGGCCCCGCGTGCGGCCCAAACAACTTCCATCAAGCCACCGTTAAGTCCCCTTACGGCTACCCAGTCCTACAGGTAAAGCCCCGCTGCAGTCCCCAAACAACGAATTGGCCATATCCATACTGCTAAAGCCCCCGAGCGGCCATGATCAACAACTTCGGTCCAGCCCGCTGGGTAAAGGATCCCCGCTACAGCCCAATCTACCCCTTCAAACGGACAACAAAGCTGATTGGAGCCGCAGCAAGCCCAGCCCACGACAGCGAAAAGCCCGACTACAGCCCCAGCCCCAGCAAACCACTCCCCGAGTCCAATCCGGGCCAGATCAAATCGAATCGACATGCAAACTGACCAACCACCCCAACGTCTGCATCCAAGCCCTGACCCCCGAACCCCTCGCCCACAAGTCGGACGCCAAGCAGCTCGGCGCCATCACCATCCGCCTCGCCTACCAGAACGCCACCGAGACAATCGGGTACATAACCGGAGCCATGGACCAGGCGGAGAGCGAGCCCAACACGCAGCAGTGCCTCACTGACTGCAATGAGCAGTATATAATGGCGATTGAGCAGCTCGACGATGCGTCGGGAGACAATCGGGTACATAACCGGAGCCATGGACCAGGCGGAGAGCGAGCCCAACACGCAGCAGTGCCTCACTGACTGCAATGAGCAGTATATAATGGCGATTGAGCAGCTCGACGATGCGTTCAACAAGTTGTGCAGCATTTCTATCTCTATCATCAGCAGCCTCAAATGATGAGGGGCCGTATGTTTATTGGGTTTTATGAGTTTAATATTTGATTTGTTTGTTTGATGTATTGGCGTCTTTTTTTTAACGGCTGTGTTAGGTTTGAGAGAAATGGTGAGAAAAGAAAATGAAAGAGAAAGAGAAAAGAAAGGAAAAGAAAGAGAAAAGAACATAACATTCTATTTGGTGTTTGGTTAGAAAGAAACTTGTAAGAAGATTTTTGAAGAAATGATAAAGAATAATCTACGCTTATTTGCTCATTTGATTAAAATGTTGCATGAAGCAAAATTAATTTTTGAAGCAACTAGCCAATCGAGATGTATGTCTTATTATTAATTCTAAGTGAGTGCAAACAATATCTAAAATAAATATAAGCAAAAAGAGTGTCAATGTAATCAATATAATTAAAATAATAAATTAATATAAATGACCTAAAAATACAATCAACATATTTACCTATGCGGAGGCTTTTCATATTTTCTAACAAATTTACTTTTGTTTTCAACTTTTTTTTCCAAGGTAAACTCCATTTTTTATTTTGATATGTTTCAAAGTGTATTTGTGCAAAAAATACACCAAAATTAAACAAAACTTAACTTTATTACCCCAAACTTTAACCAAAATTCTCAAAACTTTAGAAAAAATTAACAAATAATTTATACTTGGAATATCAAAGTTATATTCTCTTGAAGCTTTGGGATATTTTTTTTTTGGGAAAAAACTTTGAGAACCAAAGTTTAAAAGGGATAAACTTTGGTGTATGGAAGTGCCCCATCGCTTTTATTTATATTTTCTTTCATTTGTTTGCTTATTGCTAAGCCTACATGTGTAGTTTCCGTCCTCCTAAGACCCATCATTCTCATGATGGGCAACTGCTCACATTTACGGGCCCCACTTACATGTTAGGACTCGTGTTTATGAGCCTACCATCTAAGCTGGTTTTGATGATTAACAAACAATTCCTAACATCTTTTGTTGAGTGTTAGCATTTGATTGTTAGGTATCCTACACAAAGATCCTCTGTCGGATGTTTGTTGGAATTGCGCTTTAATGATGATATCTTGGAGGTTGGTGAAAAGCGGAATGAAGCCATTGCAATTCAAGTCAACGATATTATCGCTTCATCCCTGCTACCAAGATCGAGTTTAATGAATATCATATTTCTTGTTATAGTAGTTTAGGTGTTTATACCTTATCTGTTATTTATGCTTAGAGCTCAAATCATATACACACACTTTTGTTTTACATTTGTTGCTTATACATCGTTTTATGAGTTTACATGGTTTTTAGATTATAGACTAAATAATACTATTTTATATCATTTCTAAAGTCTATCAATCCACTAAAAAGAATCTTAGAACTTTTTGAAAGGAATTCATCAAAATCAAGTTTTAACAAGTTCGTATTTCTAACCGTTTTGCAAAATGATGAGTTTTCACAAATGGGAAATGATATTTTAAAAATTTCTTTTCTAACATGTTCATTTTCATGTGTATAAATGTTTTCCAAAATTTTACTATTTTTGGAGTTGTTTTGTTATGTTAAATTAAATTTATAAAATCAAGTTTTCAAAAAAAAAAAAAAAAACTGTAACTGAAATATCAGTCCATCAGTCGATCGATGTAACACATCAGTCGACCGACCAGAACAAGTTTTCAGCGTCTGATTTTTCAGAACAATCAGTCAACTGACTACAAAGCATCAATTGACCAATACTCTTTCATCAGTCGATCGATACAAAAGATCAGTCAACTTACAGTGTATTGTTTTCCAGCAATTAGCCAACGGTCAAATTCGATCAGTCGACCGATCAAAGGTAATCTACCAGTATGCTAGTTTGGCTACTTTGTTTTTAAGGCTATAAATACCCCTCAAGCCTTAATTTTTAAAAGAGTTTGTTATAGGAGTTTAAAGAGGGTTTACACTAGTTTATTTCTAAGTTTTGGTTTGTTTACCGGCAGCGCTTGACGATAATGTCAACGACCCGAAGGCGAAGGGGCACGCGATCGAGTGGATTCAGACGGCGATGTCGTTCGTGAAGTCGTGCCAGGAGGGGTGCAAGGAGGGAGCGAAGCATAAGAATGTGATGACCAAGAGGAATGGACACTTCAACAAGTTGTGCAGCATTTCTATCTCTATCATCAGCAGCCTCAAATGATGAGGGGCCGTATGTTTATTGGGTTTTATGAGTTTAATATTTGATTTGTTTGTTTGATGTATTGGCGTCTTTTTTTTAACGGCTGTGTTAGGTTTGAGAGAAATGGTGAGAAAAGAAAATGAAAGAGAAAGAGAAAAGAAAGGAAAAGAAAGAGAAAAGAACATAACATTCTATTTGGTGTTTGGTTAGAAAGAAACTTGTAAGAAGATTTTTGAAGAAATGATAAAGAATAATCTACGCTTATTTGCTCATTTGATTAAAATGTTGCATGAAGCAAAATTAATTTTTGAAGCAACTAGCCAATCGAGATGTATGTCTTATTATTAATTCTAAGTGAGTGCAAACAATATCTAAAATAAATATAAGCAAAAAGAGTGTCAATGTAATCAATATAATTAAAATAATAAATTAATATAAATGACCTAAAAATACAATCAACATATTTACCTATGCGGAGGCTTTTCATATTTTCTAACAAATTTACTTTTGTTTTCAACTTTTTTTTCCAAGGTAAACTCCATTTTTTATTTTGATATGTTTCAAAGTGTATTTGTGCAAAAAATACACCAAAATTAAACAAAACTTAACTTTATTACCCCAAACTTTAACCAAAATTCTCAAAACTTTAGAAAAAATTAACAAATAATTTATACTTGGAATATCAAAGTTATATTCTCTTGAAGCTTTGGGATATTTTTTTTTTGGGAAAAAACTTTGAGAACCAAAGTTTAAAAGGGATAAACTTTGGTGTATGGAAGTGCCCCATCGCTTTTATTTATATTTTCTTTCATTTGTTTGCTTATTGCTAAGCCTACATGTGTAGTTTCCGTCCTCCTAAGACCCATCATTCTCATGATGGGCAACTGCTCACATTTACGGGCCCCACTTACATGTTAGGACTCGTGTTTATGAGCCTACCATCTAAGCTGGTTTTGATGATTAACAAACAATTCCTAACATCTTTTGTTGAGTGTTAGCATTTGATTGTTAGGTATCCTACACAAAGATCCTCTGTCGGATGTTTGTTGGAATTGCGCTTTAATGATGATATCTTGGAGGTTGGTGAAAAGCGGAATGAAGCCATTGCAATTCAAGTCAACGATATTATCGCTTCATCCCTGCTACCAAGATCGAGTTTAATGAATATCATATTTCTTGTTATAGTAGTTTAGGTGTTTATACCTTATCTGTTATTTATGCTTAGAGCTCAAATCATATACACACACTTTTGTTTTACATTTGTTGCTTATACATCGTTTTATGAGTTTACATGGTTTTTAGATTATAGACTAAATAATACTATTTTATATCATTTCTAAAGTCTATCAATCCACTAAAAAGAATCTTAGAACTTTTTGAAAGGAATTCATCAAAATCAAGTTTTAACAAGTTCGTATTTCTAACCGTTTTGCAAAATGATGAGTTTTCACAAATGGGAAATGATATTTTAAAAATTTCTTTTCTAACATGTTCATTTTCATGTGTATAAATGTTTTCCAAAATTTTACTATTTTTGGAGTTGTTTTGTTATGTTAAATTAAA